CCCAAAGATTTATGTTAACGTTCCAGATCACCACACGCTTTTAATGCACAAACTAATATAAGTGTTTCGCCCATGACCAAAAAGAGTGAACTGAACTATGTTTTATAATAGTGCACTGATACTGGGAAAACCCAACAGGAAGCGGTTCATCCGCCCCGTGTGGCCAGGCACTTCGCGCGGCTTAACTTCGCGCGAAGATAAGCCGCGCGGCTTAAATTCGCCTCGTGTGGCCGGGGCCTAACAGTTTAGAGATTAACTTCAAAGACTTTAACAGCTAAAGTTTTATCTGGGGCTAGAAGTGATTTGAAGCAGACATTAAAGAAAGTTTGGAGAACCTCAAGATCAAGGTTTAGTAAGAACATAAGTTTACTTTGTGAGGGCCATAAATTCTGAGAGTGTGGTACTTAATCATAAAACCGCTGGACTTTACTATTTATTGTATCTCACTTTAGGCACACAGTGTTATCCAATATGCAATACTATTTTAGACAGTGTAAAACATTCCTAAATATACATAAGATACCTATTACTATCTACAGTATTGTATTGTTGTTATCTATATGTTTGAAACAACAAATATAAGTGTAAGTACAAGTATATTTTTAAAACAACATTTAATAATTGCCTAACATATACACTATGAAACAATGTCTTCTTGTAAAATGTGCGAAAGTTAATGAGAAAAACCAACATGAACAAGATATCATATTTTCTATTATCGAGCCTAACACGCAAAAGGAGTCTTAGCTCTTTATGATTCACGAACTGCTGTGAGTTAAAGTATAATTTAATATAAATTTAAAGATCTAATAATATAAGCTATACCCCTATTATAATTTTATTGTTAATGAAACCCTTGAAACTGTTGGCCCAGCAAACGAATCGTCTGAATATTTTGGACACCTAACCCTCCAGACAAACTTATATGAATGAATGAATGGATAAATGAATGAAAACGTCTTTATTGAGGAAGCGTTATTCAAAGTACAATTATTTTTAATGCAAGTTTTTCAATACAAATTAGACATAAGTTTATGTTTGATGAACTGGCTAATTACTGCACTAATAGTTGTTTTTTCTATTTGGTAAATGAAGAACAGTAAAAAAATTATAAGGAATAAAAAATAAAAATTTAATTTTCCTTGGATACATAAGGAATACATTTTATATCAAGAATTTTTTTATTTTATCAAAACTTGTAGCACATAAATCTAGTATTTCAAATCTAAACCCTTAATAGATGTTACATAATATACCATATTTGTACATCTAAAACAGATTAAAAGTTTTTAACGTGTTTTCTGCCTTTATTTCAATGCTGTATTTTTAAATTCCAACAGGAATATATTAGCATATAATGCATATAATATATTTGTTGATGACCATTGCACAATGTACAATGTACAAAATAAATTATACTTTTTCTCAAATTTGAGCAATTGTGAAGTATTACAGGCGATTTTTTTTACGAATATAACAGTTATAATTTCCGATGACTTTAAAAGAGTCGACTCAAGGGTTATGAAAATACTCCCGATGTTCATAACAGATCGATATAATCAACATATTTCTTGAAATATCTTATTATTTTTCAAAAGCTGATCTTGTTTTTTAGTGTTTTCTACAGATGTTTCCCACTCACAGCCGCATTAGGTTTTTTTTTTTTTTTTTTTTTTTAGGGAGAGGAGGGAAAATGCTTTTACGCACACAGGTAGCCAGCCTGTAGTGTGAGACTCCTGAAATTATCAGACTACTCACTAAAAACCCCCTCTACTCTGTTGGACACAGACCTGGAATTGTTTGTCACATTACTTCAAGTCAGGCCAACATGTGACCTAAGCCCTCAGGGCTCGCACCGTTTCTGGCATTTTGATTCTTTATGACCTACACCGCATCCCGGTCAAGGTCGATCTTCTTGGCGCGGAGGATACCCTGGATATAATGTGACACACAGGTCCAATTGTCCTCACCCTCCGTCATAATCGGTATGACCGTGTCCACCGACAGCAGTCCTATTAACTGTTGAGCCTCCAGGCGGGGCCTTTCCCAGCGCTGGCAGTGGAAAAATGTATGTTCCACGTCATCGAGAATGCCTGGGCAGTATATGCAGTCGGGAGACACGGCTTTGCCCATCCTGAACAGGTACGACCGGAAAAAGCCGTGTCCCGTCAGAAATTGGGTGAGGTAAAAGTCCACCTCTCCGATCCGATCCGATCCGATCCGATCCGATTGTTGACTGTGGGGAGTTCCCCACTACTTGAAGAGCTTCGACGTCTTTTGATGTCATGGCTCATGGACTAGTTGGGCCATCTGCCCTGGTAGCTCAGCTACCTGTCAGTGGTTGATTTGTTTTGGTGTCTCAGTCGATCATCTGGGGGCGAAGTCGAGGAGTGGGCTGCTGGAGGAGATCCCTGATGTGGTCCCATGGCGTCACATCTGCTGTCTGTTGGAGTCTCGCTGTCTGGGTGTCGACAAACTGCCTGATAGTCGGGATTTGGGCTGAGGTCCGGATGACGATGTTCCGAACGAACCAAGGAGAGTTGGTGGCGCGCCGGAGGCTCCTGCTTTGGATTGTAAGTAGTTTCCTGCGGGATGTTCTGCAGGTAAGATGATACCAGGCCGGTGCCGCGTAGGTTATCACCGGTCTGAGTAGGGCCGTGAATAGTCTGATTTTCGTCCGGACGGGCAGTCGCTTGGCGTTGAACAGCGGGCCGAGACTTCCAATGCCTTTGGAGGCGAGCTGGCAGACTCTCTCTACGTGGGGCGTCATCGTCAGTCTCTTGTCCAGTAGAACTCCCAAGTACTTTACTGTCTTCTTCCATGGTACTGGTCGGCCATCGATGGAAAGATGGTGTCCATCTGCCTGCTTTCTGGTCCTTGTGAAGCTGATGGCCTCGCACTTGTCAGCGTTTACCTTGATCCTCCACTTTTCCAGCCAGGGTTGAAGAAGATCCAGCTGCCGTTGAACGTAGACACGCGACATCCTCAGGTTGGCGGAGGTGGCGGTGAACAGCGCGTCGTCTGCGTAGAGTGACAGCTGGACTCTGGGAGCAAGTGGGACGTCGTTAGTGTACCACAGGTACAGAATCGGGCCCAACACTGATCCCTGTGGCACACCGGACGAGATGGGCCTGATGGATGAGGAGGTCTGGTCGACTCGGACGCTGAAGCTGCGTTGGTGGAGGTAGCTTCTCATCAGCTTCCAGGTGCAGCCAGGCAGTGGGGAAGAGGCCAGCTTGTAAAGAAGTCCCTCGTGCCACACTCGGTCGAAGGCCTTACTAACATCAATCAGGACAGACGTGGCGTGGAATTTCTTCTCCAGAGCTCCGGCGATAGTGTTGACTACTCGACGAAGTTGAAGAGTGGTTGAGTGACCTCTTCTGAAGCCGTATTGCTCTGTCCTGATTGAGTTGAAGAATTCCTCTGGAAACCTGGCCAGGATAATTCTCTCGAGCATCTTGGAGAGCACAGGCAGTAGGGAGATGGGCCTGTGATTCTCCGGGAAGAGGGGGTCTTTTCCAGGCTTGGGGATCAGTATCACCGTAGCTTCCTTCCAGGTGGACGGGAAATGCGAGAGGCGCAGGCAGGAGTTCATGACTGCGGTGATGAAGACGATGACCCAAGCTGGCAAGTTCTTCATCGCTGGTGTCCCAAGGGAGTCCGGGCCAGGTGCCTTGCGAGGACGGAGGGCCTTGATAAGACCGTTGACCTCCTGTGTGGTCACGGGGGCGACTTCTTCTTCATCGTCAGGGTCGTACGTGTCAAGGAAGTCTTCAACTGCTTCACAGTGGTCGTCATCGTAGACATCAGCATGGGGAGAGAACTGGTCCTCCATGGTGTCTGCGAAAGCTTCCGCCTTGTCCTGAGGTGAGTATACTAGTCCTCGTTGGCCGTGCAGAGGGCGGATCGACTTCTTCTCTCCACGAAGAGACCTAGCGACTCGCCAGACACCATCGTTGTCTTCTGCGCAGGCTTCCACGTAGTCCTCCCATGTGGAAGATCGGTGCTCTGCGAGGAGGTGGGAGCAGCGTCTGGCTTGGCGGTTGAAGTCTGCCTTGGCCCTTGGACACCGGGAGCGTTGGTACTCTCTGCGGAGTCTGCGGCGGAGCAGGATCTCTTCCCTCAGTTGGATTGGCAGTGGCTGTAGTCGAGGCGCAGTGGATGGGGAGGACGAGGAGGCCGTTAAAGCTTCACGTAGAAGGGAGGTCAGGTCCTGAACTTGGTTGTCCAGCTGTTCTGGAGACTCGGCCGGAGGTGGTGGTGGGTGAGGCCGGTCTGCTAGGTAACTGCCATACTTGATCCAGTTGACCTTCTGGGTGTTTCTGCGTGGTAGTCTGGGCTCCCCATCATCAGGAAGGTCAAAGACCACTGGGACGTGATCTGACGACAGGTCTGGAACTGTGAAGACCTCAATGTGTCTGTCGAAAGTGCAGGACAGTCCAATGTCAAGGATGTCTGGATAGTCTCCTCGATGGGGGTAATGAGTTGGTTCTTCTGGAGCTAAGAGCTGGATATGGCGATGAGCTTCTATGTAGGCTTTGAGACGTCGTCCAGGGGTGTTTGTGAGGCGGCATCCCCAGTCCTGGTGCTTCGAGTTCAGGTCTCCAACTAGCAGGGCTGGCGAGTTTGGTCTCAGCAGTGCGTCAAGATGTACTTGTTGGAGGGACCTTCCAGGCTGGTTGTATGCAGAGGAGATGGCAAGTTCTGCTCCATCATACTGGACTGCGATCGTTGTTACCTCCAGTCCAGGAGGAAGGTTCACCGGGATTTCACGATGAGGAAGTCTTCGATGGACAAATATGGCAGTTCCACCACTGGGACGTCCCTGGACCAGCCTGTCTGTGCGGTAGCCCTGGTAGTTGGGAAGATTGAAGGCCATGCCCTGACGGAGGTGGGTTTCCTGGATATGGGCGATGTCTGCATTTAGCTCCTGTAGAAGTTGTGACAGTTCCAGCTTCTTGTTTACCACCCCATCGGCGTTCCATGAGACGATTCTTAGTCTACCCATGATGTTTGCTGAGCGCCTCCACCAGGCGTGCAACAAGGGCCATCATGCTTTGCAGCGCTGTCAGTAGTTCGGTTAGTTCAGTCGCTTGAGGGGCACTGGACTGTTGGGCGGGGACGCTGGCCTGCTGGGCTGGGCCGCTGGTCTGCTGGGCAGGGCCGCTGGCCTGCTGGGCAGGGCCGCTGGTCTGCTGGGCAGGGCCGCTGGGCTGCTGGGCAGGGCCGCTGGTCTGCTGGGCAGGGCCGCTGGGCTGCTGGGCAGGGCCGCTGGTCTGCTGGGCAGGGCCGCTGGCCTGCTGGGCTGGGGCACTGGTCTGCTGGGCAGGGCCGCTGGCCTGCTGGGCAGGGCCGCTGGTCTGCTGGGCAGGGCCGCTGGGCTGCTGGGCCGGGCCGCTGGTCTGCTGGGCAGGGCCGCTGGGCTGCTGGGCCGGGCCGCTGGGCTGCTGGGCAGGGCCGCTGGGCTGCTGGGCCGGGCCGCTTTGCTGCTGGGCAGGGCCGCTGGTCTGCTGGGCAGGGCCGCTGGGCTGCTGGGCAGGGCCGCTGGGCTGCTGGGCCGGGCCGCTGGGCTGCTGGGCCGGGCCGCTGGTCTGCTGGGCAGGGCCGCTGGGCTGCTGGGCCGGGCCGCTGGTCTGCTGGGCAGGGCCGCTGGGCTGCTGGGCCGGGCCGCTGGGCTGCTGGGCAGGGCCACTGGGCTGCTGGGCCGGGCGGCTGGGCTGCTGGGCAGGGCCGCTGGGCTGCAGGGCAGGGCTGCTTGTCTGTTGTAGTTGAGGCACGTTGATTCTCGGTCGAGGGGTGCGCCTCACCCTGGGGTTTGCAGTGACAGAGGCAGGAGCCACATCAGGGCTTGACGTTGTTTGGGTTGGTTCAGGCATGGTGTTTTGGGCTGGAGACTCGTTGGAGATTCTGGAGTCCTGAGATGAGTTACGTCTTCCACGGTTCTCATGGTTCCTTGGTCCCCGCCGACGGCGTCGTCTCTGCTGCTGGAAGCCTTCATCATCCACGAGGGGCGGTTGGATGTGTTGCGGCTCCGACTCCGAGTCAGTTTTTCTGGGGGCGGCTACTGATGCATAGGAGCGGTTTTGCTCCTTGAAGGCGGGGCATCCCCTGTAGTTGGCTGTGTGTTGTCCACCACAGTTGGTGCAAGTTGCAGCTTCCGTGTGCTGTTTGAGGCAGAGAGAGCCGGGATGGGATCCTCCACAGCGAACGCAGCGATGGTCTCTGTAGCAGTGGCTGGATCCATGACCAAAGCCCTGGCAGCGATGGCATTGGATGGGGCCCTTGGGACGGTTGTATTGCCTGACTTAAATTTTGCAACAGAAGGCACTGGAGATGTTGTAGACTTCTGCAGGTGGTCTTGATCCATCTTGTCTGCGCAGAGTTAGCAGCCAGAGGTTGGTACGGCGGCCTCCTCGGGTTTTGAGGGGTCGTGATTCCACAGTGGAGAAGCCCATCTCATGGAACTCTTCCGAGACCTCAGTCCCGCTGAGAGTGGAAGGTAGCCCCTTGACGACTACCTTCAGAAGTCTTTCGGTCTTTAGAGCAAAAGTGTGGAACCAAGGTTGGACTTGCTGTATCAGTCGCCTGGTCCAGAGTCCCCGTGTCTCCTGTTCCCAGCCCTCCTGCCACAGCTGGTAGGTGCGGGTGCGTTCCTCTGTTCGTGCCTCGTCCTCCCCGCGGCGCCGGTAAATTGCCTTTCTCTCCGCCGCCAAAAGTTTGACGGGGATGACTCCAGCAATCACCAGGACGGCGGGCTCGGACACTGTTCGGTAGGCAGATGCCGGCTACCCTCAGTGCTGCCTGACGCTGCACTCGGGCGAGCCGCATCCTGTATGCCTACTTATTTAGTGCGTCTGCCCACACCTCCGCACCGTACAAGAGTACGGACTGGACCGAAGACATTAACAGCCTTCTACGACTGGACCGAGGCCCTCCGACATTGGCCATCAACCGGCTAAGAGAAGAAACCACCCTAGTGGCCTTGTCCGCTGTTCGGAAGATCTGATCCCGCCAGCTAAGCTTGCTGTCTACCATGACCCCAAGATACTTGGCAGAACGAACAGTTTGAACCTCGACGGCTCCCACCCTCAACGGCACGATGGTGTCAATCCGTTTTTTTGTCAAAATCACGATCTCGGTTTTGCTCAGAGCAAGTGAGAGACCGTGGTCTGCCATCCATGCGTTTATGGTACGCATAACTCGGTTTAGCTTTAGCTGAGCCAGCTCAACGCTACGTGCAGCTATCAAAGCTGCAACGTCGTCTGCGTACCCAACCAAGACCGTTTCCTCAGGCATTTCAGACCTCAGAAGGCTGTCATAAGCGACGTTCCAGAGGTCTGGGCCGAGTATGGAACCTTGGGCAGCACCAGAAGTGACACTCATCGTCCGCGGGCCCTCCGCAGTGTCATACGTTAGGAGGCGAAACTGGAGATAATCCTCTATGATGCGCATGAGGTATGCCGGCACGTGGAAGGTGTTCTCCAGAGCGTCCAGCATATCGCACCACCTCGCCGAATTAAATGCATTTCGCACATCGAGCGTTACGAGCAGCACAACCCTGCGAGAGTAGTGGTTGAAATCCTCAGCTCTCATCACTGCTTGCTTCACCTCCTCAATCGCATCAATCGTTGATCGCCCCGTCCTGAATCCATACTGACGAGGGGAGAGGTCCCCCGCAGCGACAACGGCTGAATTCAGCCGGGAACGGATCAATTTCTCGAGGACTTTGCCAGCCGTATCCAACATACACAGAGGTCTGTAAGAGGATGGCAGATCTGGGTCTCCCTTGCCCTTCCCAACAAGCACAAGCCTAGCTGTCTTCCAGCACAAGGGGAAAACCCCTTCGACCAGGCAGGCGTTGTACATGCTCAAAAGGATCAAGGGGTTGGTAGTCAAAACCTTCTTGAGGACTTCACCGGGTACCCCATCAGGACCAGGAGCCTTGTTGTTCTTCAGGGATATGACGGCCGCCACCAGCTCTTCAGGGCTGAAAACTGGAACGTCGTCCACCCTTCCGAAATCCCGCAGTGGTCGCAACGCGTGAGCCGGGAAAAGGGACTCGACTATCCTCTCCATAGTGACCCTGTCCATAGATCATATTCCCAGACTGAGCCGCATTAGGTTGTCCATAATAACGATGATAAAAAAACGATATAAATAAAAAACATTATTTCGATTTCTTCTATTTGGTGGTGTTCTATGACTTTCATGAGTTTCAATAGTTTGCAAATCGGCTCTTTCAATAATTGCTCAAGAAATGCAGCACAGTGTTAATTCAGTTTCCTTTTTAGTATATCAAGTTGTCCAGGCTTTCTCGCTATTTCCATTGTAATATTCATGCCAAACCAAATTCAAATAGTAAATATTTCATTTTTACCAAGTCTGTAAACGTTTGTAGCACGTGTAAATTTTGTACATGTTTGTCATTAAATTACAACTTAAATGTTACCAGCAATTAAATTATCTAGCTGATCATAATGCAAACAAACATTCTTCATAAGGAAAACATGGAAACTTAAAAAGCCACTGGGGCGGACGGAGCCTAAAGGACTTTTTTCAAAAATGATAGGCCAGTTTGCAAATCTACACACCTGGACAAACATTTTGGTATGTAATATGTGGGGTTAAATCTTAAAACAAAAAAGTCTTATTGTTAGCAAATTTTTCCTTGCACTAGGATACAAAGATATATTTTCAGTTACGAATTGCGTGATTTAGTTCTTTAAAGGGGATAAATTGAACCTCTTGCAAGTTGTAAGTAGCAGAGTCAAGCTTTAATAGTTTCACTACCTTTACAGATATAGGTAATTTGTAATAGGAACAGCTTATGAGGACATACATTTAGTTCACAAATAACATACCTCGTAGCTGATCAGTGGGTTTACCTACTGGCTACCCTGGTAGCTTGCAGGGTTATCGTAAATAACAATTATTAGTAATTAGTGGAATACCATCACGTCAACACAAACTCGGACAATTGAGTCAATATTTGAAATCTTTAAACGGCTGTTTTTGACTTGGTTATTCGTTTGGGGTTAGGTTTGTGGTCAACCTATACTTTCAGTTAAGATTTATTTTCCCCTAGTTCCGTAAGGAGGCAGCTTATGACTTAATAAATTATCCTTAAACGAGCACGTAATAACGTGCAAAAGAGCAAAATATCAAATAAAAATATTAATGCGTTGAGAGTTTAGAACATTCCTTACAAAAAACTTAAAAGTCTCTATTTGCGTTAAAATACGTACACATGAATATTTTTCACCTTCGAACTTTTAATAATAAAAATGTTACGGCAGGTATTCCTCGCTCAGCATCATTATTATCGGGCGCCTAACGAAGGTCGGTTCAATTTTCAACAATTTGCAACAAATTCAATTCAACCCTCGCTACCGCTAATCTCACTGACCCAACACTTTTTATGATGAATAATATTTTCAGTTGACATGATTCCTATAAAATTTTCCGGAACAAAAGTAATCGTTAATTGTGTCTTGATTTATTTTTGTAGGTAAATGATCAGGAGCATTAAAACCACTACACATGATTAATGGGGCTTTATTATAGAATGATAGAATGCATTTATTTGATTTAAATTGTGATAAACAACTAGCTAATTATTTGCCATGTGTACTGTACCTTTTGATTGCGTTATAACTAATTATTGTAATTGTTTGCTTTGTTTATAACCTAGTTAAATCAAGTTACTCGTACTAAATAAAACACGTAGTTTTAGGCCAATAAGTAAAAGTAAGTATCTACAAAATCAGTAGTGAAATTCAAATATTCGCCCCCTGATTTTTCCCTTATGATTGGAGATGTAGGATTATGATGTAGAAACCCCGAGGAGGCAACTCGCCCTCGGGACTTGTCACTGCAGATATGGTTGTGTAGGTGATGTTTCAAGAAGTCGCCACCCAATCCATCTAGTGATTTGCTCAAGTTGAGGAATGCCTTGATTATCTCTCAGTGTCTCGCTCTTTTCAACAATAGTCTAATATTCTGATGTCAATGAGCGCCAAGCGGTTCCAAAAGATAAGATTTCGACTCTCCCGTGAAGTAGTAAAGTTGTGTAGAACTAGGTATTTACGCCTATTACTTGCCAAGAAGCCTAACACAAGTAGTTTAATTAATTTTAAGTTTAAATAACGTCATAATGACATCTAGGGTGGGGATCAACTATCAGGAAAACCACTGATATTACAGCAATAACCTGTAACGTTATTAAATTGCATCACTGGCCCAAATCTAATACTTAGAGCTAACATCTGATTTGGATGGTTTTGCAGTTCTGTACATATATTAATAGGCAAGTAGGTTGCATTAAAACCATTTTCTCAGTGTGGCTATTTAATTTTTCACTTAACTGTGTCACATGCTACACAAGTGTTTATTGTCCTTTATTGTATACAATGGTTGAACTTATTGAGACTAATCCGTGAAAATTGCTATAATTTATTATTACACCTTAAGACAGGATTAGTGTGACATTACTTAAAAAAGAACGAAAAGAAGCACACCTTTTTTATAACATTTGTACTAATTACTGTCTGGTTACCACAGTATTACTAATGTCTTCATTCTTTTGACATAAGGAAAAGTATCCGTTTGAAACATTTTCAGTTTTTACTCCTAAAAAATAATGTTTGTCTTTTAAAATAAATTTCTAAATTAATTTTCCTTTATCAATAATCTAATAATTAACCTCATTTGTATTGAACTCTTCAGTAAGTTTTTGATTATTAATTTGTCATTGAACTGATTTTGTTTCAAAACTGACAACAAACGTAATTTTAAGCTTTGAAACAACAATTGCTCAAATATCAAACCTAAAAAAAATCAAAACTTGTTCCTTAAACAAAATTTCAATTTCAACAAAAAAGTGGGGTTGTTATTCTATTTTAATACTAAGCAAAAGGCTCATATCAACATTTGTCCTGAAATAATACTTTAGAGAAAACATTACTTTAACTGGTTTAAAGTAAAGTACAATTGACACAGTATTATTAAACCTTTAACATTAATCTGTTAAATTAGGCTAAACCTTTCAGTTTACGTTAGCTTACACACTCTATGAACCTAAGGTCATCCAAGACTCAATCACCCTTTATGCCAAGAGCAGATCCAAGCAATATCCGGTTCCGTGTGAAAATTATATTGAAATACTAAACTCGGTATGGCAGTGTTATGTTAAAATAAAAATTGTCAGTTTTCTTTTTGTAATTTTGCCATTTTCAGAAATATAATAGTCTATCTATTTACATAATTCATTAGGAAGGAGTTATTTTGTGAACAGAACTTCTCCTAGAGTTTTAACCGATTTTGACATTTTTGTATCATTTTAAAGAGCTCACTCTAAAGTTGTGCTGGACGGAACTCAATGCATGGTAAGGGCTCTGCCCCAGTGGCCCTCAAAGTTACTGTGGAAATAATGATAGACTAGACGGTTTGAATCAGCTGTTCAATTATTTGTTTTTTAACTACAAGGGTTGAACATTACCAGCTGTATGTTTACTTTTCT